GGATCATGTTATGGTTGTTTTTTTAAGAAGTTTAGATAAGTTTTGAAATAATTTAATGACTTATACTTGAGTTACACTTGCATTACATTTGATCACAAACTCAATATGAAAATTTTATATTTCATTAAATAATGACCCAAAATAATAATAATAATAATAATAATAATAAAGGTACTAAACATCTTAGGATTGTTTGTGATAGTTTAGGAGAAGTTTAGATAAATTTGGAGATAATTCTACTAGTTACACTCGAGTTATACTCGAACATGGATTTAATGTAGAAATATCCTATTTTCTTAAGTAATGACTCTAAAATCAGAAAAAAAAAAAATAGTAAACATATCAGGATTCAATGATAGTTTTAGAGTTGTACTCAGTTACACTCGATCATAGATTCAACCCAAAGTGTCCTATTTCGAAAATGAAGCACTTAACACACAAAGTGGGAAACATGGCAACCATATGCAATGAATCATAATAAAAATATATATTCATAGTAACATTAAAGCAATTCACAATTCACACAGATTACCAACATGACATAGAAGCAATTCACGTTAACATTAATGATATTTAATCCCAAAATGATATGACATTATCAAATAATTTGTACAAGAACAAAGGTCATCACATATGACAATAGCAGTAACAATGTTTCATAAGTTCGAATCTCTTGGTCCCTTGTTACACAATAATAATCGTCATTGGCAATTTGGAGCTTAAACAATAGCATGTCTCTTTAGCTAAATTTTATATTTTTATCCTTCAACAAGTAATCTATGTACTTTATCATGAATATTGTGCAGTCATTGTTGCAAAACAGGAAAAATTAATTAGTACAACAATAATCACACAACTTGACCAATGTGAATGGCATGACTAACTTACGATCTGTCTTTGTTAAGAACATTTCACCACCTTTGTTTTTCATCCGTTATTAACAATCTTTTCTGCAATGCTAGGATGGAGACTAGCTAAATCAATAGCAAATATTTTCTTAAATTTTTGGACCTATTTTTTCAATAAATAAACACTTAATATAAGATAAATGTTCTGATATCATAACTAGTCAAATTAGGACACTTACCATTAATCTAAATATATTCAAATGGAAATACATCGATGTTATATAGTGAGATACCAATGATCGATGTCATATAGTGAGACAAAAATATACAGAATTGAGCCATTCAAGGTGATCTTACAACTGAGATTGGAATTCTTCATCCAAATGAACGATATGCCAGCTACAATTGAAACCAACAAAAATATTAGTTCATTTATCACAAAGTACAATAAATAAATTAAGGAACAACATATAAATATACTAATTTATCTCAAAATCATTCCACAAGAATAGTGATGGCTAAAATTTTTGTCTCGATTGTACAACGTCACGACAAAGAATTAGACGCATAGGCATCTATACTTCTCCATCAATAAATTCTCCCACATCTAATAAAGACCAAAAAGATTTGTATTCACAAATCAACATTTCATTTTTCCAAAAAATAGAATAGCTTACACTACAAATAATAAATGATAATTCAATGTGTTATAACAACCTAATTCAACAATCAATTATTTGTAAGACTTACTATAAAATCTTTAGTTTTGAAGCTAAAATGATAGTCTCTTCTTGGACGTTGCCCATCCTCTCATAAATCTGCAAGATGAAAAATATTAGTCAACATGATCAAATCAATTTTATTTTAAATATAATTATATTCGAATCGCCTTTGTAAATTTCTCTCTTTCTATCTTCCATAGTGCTAAAGGATTATCGACGTTGTTCATAGAGCTCTTTGGAATATAGACGTTTCATTGCTTACCTCTAATGTTCAAAATCCTTTAGGTAACTTTCTCTTCCTAAAGAAATAGGAGCTATGTTTTAAGACTTAGATATATCTTAAGCCTATATAGCCTATGGAGTGTCAATAGAGTAGCCCTTGATCAATCCTTCCAGATGATAAGTGTGGTAGAACATATTATAGAAGAATCATCATGGTAGTCCTAGAGGCCTGGGATGACAAGATGGCCACGTCCATGATCATGTAGTATCTTATGTAATGTTTGAATCTCATCTTCGTTCTTTTTACAGTTGGCGCATTCATGTTCAGAACCCACATGTGTATACAAATTTATAAAACATATAATCAAGATAATGAGATGATGCAAACATATGAACATCAAAATTTGTAATGTTAAAAATCAAAATTAATCTCTATTATGTTTTTCATATGTACCTAAAAATTGAGATTTATCTTAACATTAATACTAGCAATGTTCCAAAATACTATACAAAGCAGAACGACATGTAGGAACATTAAAAACATCTGCTATATTGTGGAAAGGTGTCCTCCTAAGGACACGAAGATGACAAAACTTAGGGGAAATAGATATCATGTTCCCTCAACTCTCGCCACTTGGTTCATAAACAAAACACCTAAAATGGATAATGTAATAAAGACCATTGACTATGTACCATGGAGGGAGTATAATGGTAGCTAAGGAAGCATAGGGTGGTGAAGGAGGGGGTGACACAAGATGGAATGATGCAACAGGTGAAGGAGGAATGGATGATTTATGCTGCTTGGACTTTACACTTGAAAAAAAAAGTTTAATTAGTTGCATATAACTTAATAATGATTAATATAAATCTTTTAAGTTATGATGTATATTACCTTTAGTAACTGCTTCATCTGTCTTCTTTCCCCCCAAGTCAAAGGGATCTAAGTAATGACGTCATTCTATTTATATACAAAAATAAAAGGTTATAAATAAGGGGGCATTATATCCAAAATTTAGGGGATAAAAATAAAGAGAAATTCAAACATATTAAAGAATTCAACACCCTCACACTCTAATCAAGCAATATGCCTAACTAAATGAATTAAAATCAAGTCTGTTTGATAAAGATAACCGACAAACATATTATTAGTTAGTCCATGTTGTCCACATTAATCTATAGTATTATAATCTGAGTGTAACTGTAGTGTAAATAGGAGAATTGGTCTCAAACTTATCTAAAGTTTTCCAAAACTATGATAATATGATCCTAAGATATTTACTATATTTTTTCTAATACTTTTCTGATTTTAGGATCATTAATTATCAAAATATGAGAATTTTATATTGAATCAATGATCAAGTATAATTCACTCAAGTATAACACAAGTGTAAATAAAAATATTATGCCCAAAGTTATCCAAACATTTCTAAAAATACCATAACATGATTCTAACATTTTTAGTATCACTTTTATTTTATTTTTTTCTAATTTTAGGATCATTAATTATCAAAATAGGGGATTTTTATTTTTTTATTTTAGGGTCATTAATTATCGAAATAAGGAATTTCTATATTGAATCTGTGATTGAGTGTAATGCAAGTATAATCGGAGTATAATTCTAGTAATACACTCCAAATCTATCGAAACTTCTCTATAACAATTATAATATAATTCTAATATATTTAGTAGCAATTTTCCTAATTTATTTTTATTTTTAGATTATTTTAGATATTATTTTTTATAAATAATTTTATAGTTTAAGGTATTACTATCGCCTAATCTACGACGGTACCATTGCCCTAGGTCAGTAATGCATTGGGTATAGGTGGTACTATCGGGCAGATGTCGAAAAATTCATATGATCTATTAACCCTAAATTCAATTGATTATATTTATATATTATATAATATTTAGATATTATAGATAAAATTTTAGAGAAGGAGACATTAGGCAAAGGCTTACCGAAGACAGGAGAGGAGATGCCAGAGAGGAATTGAGAGGAATTTGCTGAAGGAAGGATCGGTGATGCCGAAGAGAAGTCATCGGGCCTCTTGGTGAAGGGAAATTGATTTTGACGAAGCCGGAGAGAAAGCTGGTGAGGAGAGGACACACAATCGAAGGGGAGACGAGTTCGTCGCCTACAATCGACGCCAACAATGCCGAAAACAATAGGAGTAGAGTAGTATCAACTCTGACAAAATCAAAGAGAGAGAAATTGAGAGCAATCGTTGAAGAAGAGATAGAGTTCTTTGCTAGGGCCACTTACACTAGAATTAGAATTATACTCGATCAATGTAGTCCGCTGAGTGTAAATGCTATGTATTAAGTGGAAGATTTGGCCCGCAATCACTCCGATCGACAACTAATCTAGCCCAAACCAAAATAATTGATTTGAACTAGAATGAGTATTTAATCGGGTTGAAGGTGGATCAATTCAGCTTCAATCAAATCGATTTAAGGATATTAATAAATTTTTCATAAAAGGGTGCCCCCTTGATAATGGCAAGCAGATAAAATCTCATTATATTAGACAGTTACGGTCTTCTTGAAAATATTGGCAAAAACACTTGACAAAAAGTAGAAAAATTGGATATATATATATATATTTTTTTATTCTATTTTCGATTAATTCACGTCGGATTTGATACGCCCAGCCTGTGTACCAGCAAAGCTTTCCTTGGGAACGCGTGCCGTGAACCCACGGCCAACGCAGTTCCCCATGCTGGCATCGCAGTGAGGATTCTCAAACACCGGCCTTCCACTTTCGTACCACGGTGGAGGGCCCACGTAAACAAGATGCACGTGTCCCATCATCACCGGGCTCGTCGATAAACTTTCTCGAATGCTGCCAGATGAGCACAGCAGAGCCGCACTCGGCCTGGTTATCTATGGTAGAGCCGTTTCCTGATGTCGGCCCCACAGTCACCTAGTCCCAGCGTCCATTCACGCAGAAGAGTTCCCCCGCGTCTTCGCATGTTCCTGTCCGCTGCATCCCTGCTTGCCGATATCATCCCAAGTCCTGAGCCACGTAAGCAGCTTGGCAAGAGACAGCTGATAAACTATCAATGGACACGGGTCCCGCTTCCCCTTGCCTATAGCGTTCTCGATGCTGGGCCGCATGCAAATATTTCGTGGGTCGCTCTCAACACCGCCTCCCCTCTCTCCCTATATCTCTCCCATCTGCTCTGTTTTGATCGACTACGACCCTTTCGGAGATCGTTGCTCTAGGGTTTGCATCGGGAGCGTCTTCACTGAATCTTGTGAATTCTATTGTAGTGCCATATTGCCGAAATCGCAGGCCCCGGAGGAGGCTATCGCCGTCGGTACCTGTCGGTTCTTCATCCCTGATCTGTCGCATTGGACCTGAGCTTTTGTGGATGTGAATTGGTTCATGCGAATGCTTCTGTTTTTGATAGATGCATTGTCTGAAATCCACCCTCATATGAAATTTCTCCATTGGTTGTCATGTTTTCAGGAAAAATACGAATGCTTTTGCCTTTGTCTTAGTTTGTGATATTTTTTCTGGGATCTGTAGTTTATGGTTCGATCAAGATCTAATGCATACTCTTCACTTCTCCATTCTAGTTTGATCCCAGTGCAGTGATTAGGAGGCAAAAGTGACACACGAATGAGACAACTGTAGGTGATGTAGAGTTTCAACCTCTTACTAGCACTGTCATTAGATATTTCATGGATATTTGAAATCCCAAAAAACCGTCCAGTGGAAGCTCAATGTTTTTGGCACATATCATGCGCCCATGTGCTCGTAGGAAGGCATGGGATACTACAGAAATGTGGTTCTTGATTACGTTAAATTTCATCTTCCATATTTCTATAAAATGAATTTAGATTTTTTATATACCATATTGTAAGATTGAAAAATTATTATGTAATCATTTTGCTCAATTTTTGATATGGAAGTTTCTCACATGTTCTTTTCTTTATTTAAGAAAATCATTTTGTTGTGGTTAGTCCTTCCGTTGCTACACCTTCTGCTTTTCGCATCATCTATTATGGGGCGCATGGATTTGATGCATGTTCTTAGTGCTTATCATCGTTGTAACATGTGCTATGTCAATATTCCTTCCCATTGTTTATGATACTTCTATTCTGAATACCGGAGGCCTGGTTGTTTCAATGGGTTCCTTATGATTCTTTATGTACATTTTCAGATACAGCTAAAGCCTTTTTTTCATGGGTACTAAAACAGTTGAAGAACTGCAAGACAATTCTGCTGGTGTTCACTTTTCAGGACTTCACGTTGATGATCTAGAGCGGAGAAATTCCAAGGAGTTACCAGCAACTTCTGCCATAGAGAATGGCTACAGAGAACCCTTCGTAATAGGTTAGTTTTTATAATATAATTTTTGAATTGCTTATTTTGTTCAATGTTCTGGTCTTTCATGACCTAGTCATCATATTTATGTACAAAAATCTCCAATATTTTTGTCCTTTATTGCAAAGGTTAATGTATAAGAATGTAACAGTGTTGCACACAAGAACTAATAAAGCAATTGTTTGGATGGGTAATGGATGTAAGAATTCCCATAGTCTTTCAAAAATGAGAAAGAAAGTCATGGGAGTAGAATGCAATTCTTTCTTGATTGTGTACCTCACTGTAAAATGTAAGTTTTTATTGGCCAATATTGCAGAGTCAATTGAGATGCACCATTTAACCATAGTAGACCATTTATGATTTGTGGTGCAAAGTAAGGTAGATGAAGACCCATGAAAACTCTATTAGAATCAAGAAAAATTGATTCATTAACTCTTTATTTGACTAGAAACATTTATTTATTTATATGTATGTGTATATATATACATATATGTATGTGTGTGTAGCCAATCCCAAATAGTTGAGACCATACAGACACACTTGTTTTACTTGCTGGCACATGATTGCTCTGATGAATAACATTATAACACACCACCAAAAACTGAAATCTGCTATACTTTCCCTTGTCTTATGGGTGTTTACACTGTATTGTTTTTTGGTTAACTTGAAATAAATACTCTGTGGATGTAATTCTCCCCAGAAAGTGGAAAAGTAACTTGTACTGATATTGTTTAGCATTGCGTATGTTTCTTCTCCTGAAACTAGTGTACTGAGCTATTGCCACACTATTCAAAATTTAAGTACTTAATTTTCTTCTTTATTTAATATTGAATATTCTGCCATACAAAGGTGTTGCTGGTGGTGCCGCATCCGGAAAGACCACTGTCTGTGATATGATCATTGAGCAGCTCCGTGATCAACGGGTTGTCCTTGTTAATCAGGTAGATGTAGTTCTAACTTCCAATATTTTCCTTTATATTTGTTGGGTTAAATTTGATTAGAACAATTTTATACATTGACCCTCACCAAACCCCATATAGGGGCTTGCTTCATGTGCTTGAGTTTTACTTTGTTAAAAAAAATTCATATAAGAAACGAGGCATCATGTGTTTAGAAGTTAGAAATAAAAGAAAATATCTGCTGCCAAATCGTGAATTTGAAATAAAAGAAAATACCAATCATGTGTTTAGAATTCTGTCTAGCCTAATTTAGCCATATGTGGTGGTATATACCAGCCCTGACGGGGTTATCTGGTTCATGCAAATTCATATAGAATAACACCAGCAAATCCAAGGAATCTAATTTCAGATTCTTGACCCATGCTGGTCCATGAGCAGATCAGTATGGGTCCAATCCATTCCAGCATACCGATACACAGTATATTGGAATCTACCATGGTACTTTGTTTCTAGGGGAGGGAGAGATGGGGGAGAAAGAAGAAAGAAACGGAAGAAGGAAGAAGAGGAAGGTGGAGGAGGAAGATATTGGTGGTGGTGGAGGAGCAAACACGCGGGCAGCAGTGTGTGGCAGGCAGTGGAGGAGGAAGAGGAGAAGGAAGGAAGGTGGTCGATGACAAGAAGAAGAAGAAGACGACCGGAGATGTGAACAGCAGGCAGCAAACATGCAGGTAGCGGCAGGTGTGTGGGCGACAACAGGTGATCAAGAGGAAATTACAAACATTTCCTTGTGAGCCTCCTTGCGAGCCCTAGCACAATGACAACATGCATCTGTTCCTTTTCTTTTAATGGACCAAAACAGACCACTGGTTTTAAGTGGTCCGCATCTTAGTTGATGGTTGGATTGGTAAATAGCGGCCAGACTGTTTTTTAAGTAGTCCGTATCTTGGTCGATGGTTGGATTGATAAATACTGGCCAGACGATACAAACTGAGCAAAACTAAAAACCTTGATCAAACCATTTAAAACTGGAGCATGAGGTGGAAACAGTTAAGTTATATGCCAAATTATTCAAGAACTGACTAAAAACCTATTATAGTTGGATATAGGATCAAGTTGGTTCAATTGAAAACTAGTTTTAGACTGATTTGTCTCAGAAGGTTGAACCAAACTGGCCTTGTTATGTACAATTCCTTTTTCCAAGCACAAGGAAGCTGGCCTTGTCTCAGAAGGTTATTTAATCCTTGGTTTGACTTCTTTTAGGTATTAGATGGTTGTGCTTCTAAATACTACCTGTTTGGCTTATGAAATTAGTGTAGTTGTCTTGCAAATCTTATTGCTGCTTGTTAATGAAAGGATATTATATTAGGTCCCAAACTAACACATGAGAGACTATATTTGGTTTCTAGTACAAGTTGCTCTTATCACATGTAACCAAGACACATTTAAAGAAAAGCTTGGTAGGAACATCTATTAATCGAAGGGACTTGTCATTCACAAAGAGCACAATCGTTAGATCCTGCTTGTTGATGTTCACTATTACCTAGATGAATTTTGAGGCTGTTAATAATGGTTATGCAATCTAGTTTGCATATTTAGAAGAATATAATTCATTATCTTTTGTGGTGATCGACTTTTGTGATTTAGATCAGGCTTACCCTTTGTCTCAAGATATCTTAAGAAGATACAATTATGATCCAAGGATACAAGAGTAACAAAACTGTTCTCATGTATCTTTATTTATCCTTTACATTGTAATGTTGGATTTTCTTCTGTGATTCAGATCAGGCTTCCCCTTGTCTGAAAATATCTTAAGAAAATACAATTATAATGAAAGGATATGAAACTATTCTCACGTATTTTATGTTGGATATCAACAGAGGACCTGCTATTGTTATTATATCCAGTGAATCCTTGAATGCATATGGAGACAGTATAACTGTGATTATCTTCTTTTTCTCTGAACTTGAATTTGATATTAGGCCAGACTTGTTATCCATGTGGCGACTAAAAACTTAAAATAGGGTTGTAATCATGTCAGATGGGTCAATGTTACTATTTAATTGGATCATTAAATTGGACTGAAAATTGGATAAATTAAATCAAAACATAATCCAAATTCAGTTTGTCTAAGAGCTAGAGCTCTAATCTGGTCTATCTTTAAAGGAGGAAAATCAGTAGTGACAGCTCAGCGGTGCATGTAGTCAAGAGAGAAGGCGTGCAGGAGAGGAGAAAGGAGAAAACAAAAGAGGAGGTTGGACCATGTAGCTTAGGCTACGAAGATGTCTTCCTTAATTGAGGAAGTTGGAAAGAACTTTGCTTAAGAGGAGGCTGTATATCTTGGTCATCAAAATTCAAAGGATAGGATAACCAAGGTTCGTAATTTCGTACCGTATGGGAGTTTCAACGTTCGTTCGGTACGGTACGATACTATATACCGAGCGGTATACCGTTCGGTATATTGCTCGGTA